AATTTGAATCTTTTCGAATCTGTAACTATTTTCAAGTTGAATTTTAATCTTTCGGGTGAAGAGGTCTGATTGACTTCGACAGAGACATGAGAGAAGCACAATTAAATAAGATTTTTAATGAATAGAAAAATGTGATTATTTTACACTCGATAGATCTATCGCATATATAAGCTAAACTTTCTGTCAATAGACTATCTTTAAAGAGTTGAAGAATAGATATTATCCCAATTATGACAGAAACATTTTATTGCAGGAAACAGCATTCACTTATATCTGTTTCCGTTACCCGCAATGCATTCTATCAGGAGCGATGCCTTCGTTTATTTCAATGATATTTGTTTCAACTAAATGGAGTCTTTCATCTTTCCGCTCCTATAACACAGCATACATTAGATCCAATGGTGCTAATAACATTTAGCCGCAGCTAAGATTCAATATAATTGCTAGAAAGCTTAAACTAGAGCAACTCATATGGTGCGTTCAGAGAATATCCCCGAAAACTCGATTAAGTACTAGGGAACCAAACCTATGAGATATAGGAGTTTCTCCTCTTTCACCTCTTAATTTCATTTAATTATATCTCAGCTAAAATAAAAAATTTTCACAGATATTACTTACATCAATTTTTCTTTGTTGAGCCTTGCTCGTTGTTTATTAATATTTATTTGCTGAGCCTTGTTCGTTGTTTATCAATCTCCTATAACTCCTAGACTCTCCTAAGCTCCGTATATGCTTTATATCTCTATATCTGTTATATCTGCTAGATTTGGTTCCCTAGCACTTAATCGAGTTTCCGGGGATATTCCCGGGACACATCTAATCATTGTTCATGGAAAAACAATAGCGATTCATTTGCATACATTTATATTTTGTTAAGAATATTTAATCGATACATTTTATGATATTTGGATAGAAAGAAAAGCAATGCTAAAAAAATGCGTCATTTTCTTTTATTACATCGTGAGGTGAGAAAAAAATCTTTACATCTGAGGCACCTGTTGATTAAAAATGTATATCGTATAAAAAGAGAAAAAACCAAGGATCACACTATCATAACATCTCCAAGATTATATTACTGATGAGAAAAAAACGAATCATTACGGACACGCATATTTATAACATTGATGAATTAGTCCGTTTTTGTGTTTTTGATGTTTTACTGAAATTTAGTGTTGGAAATAGAAAATGTAGGTGATAAATAATGTTCACTCAATAAAAAAAAGCTAAGCCTTTTCCTCGGGACATGAGCCTCAATTATTTCACTGTCATTTAACAATGATGGAGTCTATTACGGCATTTTGAATGTAAATCTAATCAATTTCTTTTGTATTCATTTCTTTTCATTTCAATATCAAAGTACAAAGTACGAAAATGAAATATATGATGAATATTATGTTCGGTTGATTTCCATCTATGAATGTCTCAAGTCAACCATGATTTAACAAATTTAAATTAAGAAGAACTGATTCCTGCCTAAGTAGAAATTCAACGTCAGTAGTAGCAGGCATGTAAATAGATATTCTTATATTCAAATGCATTCATTATTATAATAATGATATCAGAATGCAAAAAGAAAAAATGATAATTCATTTTGAAATTTGAATTTCACTTTTCTTATCTCTATATGAACATATCATTATCCTGTTCCTCAATCAAGTTAAAAATACTCTCAAATATAAAGAGATACTTCTTTTTTCCGCCACATCTACGCCTTTGGTAGAAATATATAGTGGCTTCATACTTTTGAATTTTATCATTATCGTCAGAAATAACTAAATAGCATCAAAGGGCAAGTGAGTAGACTGCAGATTATGCTAGCTTTCTTTCAATAGTTTCAGAATATAGATCATTTAGGAAAACATATAATATTATATACTACTTATACTAATTACATAGTTGATCAAAGTCGGAAACAGAGAAAATGAAAAGCATTCCGTACGAGTAAATGTGTCAGTCTCATAAAAGATAGTTGTGTGATGCCAAGATAAGTTATGGTATTCTTTGCGGAGAATTACTTTTAGCAATAGCAAAATTTCATATGTTAAAATACTAGCTAGGTAAATTTGTGTTATTTATTTTACATGCATCTCTTCTATATACTCGAAAGTTTAACTTTACAGTGAAAACATTATTCTAAGACAAACCAGTAAAAACAATACTCGAATAAATATTAGATAATTATTATTAATATATTTTCCTCTTTTTGTCAGTTGCATGTAATACTGTTACTACTAAATAATTCATAAGTCGTTTCTTCGAACTCATAAGAGTTAGAAAATATTTTCAATCGTTTGTATGAACTTCGAGAATTTATTAGTTCTTAGTGAACTCTAATGTTTATCATCGTTATTCTCTCAAATGAGTATAGATATGACGATAACTACAGTAGATCTCAATGGTGTCTCAAGACGAATAAGGTAACATTGACGCAAAATAAAAGCCTACGCAATATGTGCAATTTACAAGCGACCCATAACTATTTTCTTCTTTTATTTTCATTGGTTTCACCAATTAATCTGTATTGCTTAAAATAGTTTTTGCCTTTGTTAATGTAGCGTGCAAGATTTTGTCTACTAATCGCTCATAAAACCGAGACAGTCGAGATTAGGGGTGGCACTTTCCTTCCCTTTGCTTTCAAAAAGGAAAGGAAAGGAAAGCCAACACTTTTCTTTCCAAAAAGAAAGGAAAGCTTTCTGACTTTCAACCTTCATTTCAAAAAAAGAAAGGAAAGGAAAGTTAAAACCTTCTTTTCCTTTTTTCGTCGTCTAGAAGATAGAATTATGTTTCTTGTTGACTTCCAATTTCAAAAAATTAGGAAAAGTCGAACGAAACGAAAAAGGGAAAAGAAAGTTGTATTTATTTGTTTGTCAAGGAATTTACTCTTGTTGATGGGAAAATTNTGTTGAATCTTGCTCGTTGCTTATCAATATTTATTTTTTGAGCATTGCTCGTTGCTTATCAATCTCCTATAACTTCTATATCTCCTATAACTTTTATATCTCCTATATCTTCTATATCTCCTATATCTCCTATATCTTCTATATCTCCTATATCTCCTATAACTTCTATAACTTCTATATCTCCTATATCCCCTAGGCCTCCTAGACTCCCTATATGCTGTATATGCTGTATATATCTATATCTGTTATATCTGCTAGGTTTGGTTCCCTAGCACTTAATCGAGTTTCCGGGGATATTCTCGGAACGTATCTAATCAATTTTCTCCACGAAGAAAAATAATTTCGAAAAACTAGTCGCATAGTTTTGAAGAGGAGCATCTGGCGAATTGAACCATGCAATAAAATCGATTCTAACGCACCAGGAAACGTTTTTGAAAGATTTTTAAAAATTAGGTTTTTGGCTTTGCAAATCGCGCTTCTAGAGACCTTGATGGGCAACGTTTTAGGTCAAAAACTATTTTAAAGATATTTTCTGATTCAGTTTTTCTAGATGAACAAGAATATGTCCTTTCCGAGTATCTAAGTAGATTCAGAAATTCAATTTTTCTAGCTGAAGAAACCATCGAAATAACTCAAACAACTTATATTCGTGATCGCCGTAAAATTCTCTATCAGATGAGGTATAAAAGACGAAAATTAAAATTTTTACTCGTAGTTCGCCGCGCGCGAACCTTGGTGTTTCGCAGTGAAGACTTATATCAGAAACATAGATAGAAATATGCATATATTCTCAATAATTTGTTTTGTGATATAATTAAAGTTCTATGTGATTTTGTTTATATGACCTACACGTAACTGCTCGGATTGGTGTTACTATCGTTGAACATCGTTTTAATTTGTATATAAAATACATCTTGTAATGCTATGAAAGATTTGTGCTCGTGGATATCTAATGGATATTGTGTTCATGAATCTGATATAAAAGATGCCGTTTTAAGGTAACTGTTGGGATTAGCTGCGTTTTTGTCCCTATTGCTTCTATAGATTTAATCATTTACAATACGTGATAGTGTTGAAATTTGAGTTTTGATAATTATTTTTCATTGTTTTCGAACATTGTGGTTGGGAAAAATTATAGACCTCGTGTAGCAGCTTTCAACGCATGAGGTTGTATCAATCATCTTCATCGTAAATACAAATATCAATTGACTTGAATTCTATGCACTGAAATAAAGATGTTTTCTATTGCCTTACTTTAAATTAGATCGTCTAAAGGTACGCAACTTTCTTATCGGTTCGAAAAAATAGAGAGAAGAGAAACGCTGAGTGAAACGAAAAAGAAATGAAAAGGAAATCAGTACTGACAGCATTATGCATGAAGAGTTAACTGAATGAGAAAAGCATTGTATATGCTTTCCTTCTAAAACCTTCTCCATGATTTCGGCTACGTTCTGTGTTTTGTCACAAAAAAATGGAAGGTCTTTGCTGATCATGTATTCAAGTAGTTTCGCAAGAGCATGCAAAAATACGGTGCTTACGTTTTAAATTGAAATCTTTTTAATCTGACATTGTCATGTACACGTAAAACTATGTGATTATTTATGTAGATTTTGGATTTTTGTTATCTATTTTCACTGAATAAATCTTTGTTCGCAGCTTTATTTATCCATCAAGGATATTCTTCTCAAAAAGCTTAAATAATATAAATGTATAGCTTGTTGATCATGAGTAACTAAGGAAAGAAACGTAACGATCGAATGTTTGACTATGATCCTATCATTGTGTTTTTCACATGTCATTTGCATTTTTATTTTCTTCCCAATGCTTTCTCAAGATATGTCATCCGAACTTATATGAATTTCAATCGACAAAGCAGTGAAAATACATATACACACATACATTTATTTTCAAAAAAGAAGCATAGAACTTTGCGTTCTGAAAAACTACTCAAAGAATGTTTTTTTTCTTTCTTATTGATTGACTCGGATCAGTTGACAGATTTAAGTACGATGGCAGAAAATATTCTACTGTTTGTTCTAATCAAGATTTTTGAATAAAATAGCTCTACAATGAATATATCAATTACATTCACAATTTAAAATGCTATTTCGTTGGTGGATTCTTGTCTTACTCACACAAGTTAAACAATTCTTAGCAGATCATTATAAAGGTGGTAGCATATCGTGGAGACCTGTAAGTCCATATTCATTATCGAGTCCTGTTCAAGTTGTAATAACATATCGAGACTCATGGGCACTTAGCCGATATGCTTGTAATGATACTACTATTAATACATTGGGATCTTACAACGATACAACAAATTCAATAACAGCTTCCATCACTTGCATTAGTTCTTCAGCAGCATGTACAGCGTCACAATTCACAGCAATTAGCTCGACATTATACTGCACTGATTTTAGCACTGCATTCGACGTATCTACCGGAAGTTATTATTCGAAACAAAATTTAGCATTAAATTCTGTAATTGATATTGCTTCGAGAGGAGCATCATGGTCAAGTGAAATTTTAATGAATGCGTGGTCACTTGTTTCTCATATGGATCTAACACCGATATCGGGTAAAATAAATAGTTCGCCTGGTGAGTTTTCTCTCATGAAGATTTATTTCGCTCTTTATATGTAAAAATTTGAATTTAGTCTCGGGATCATTACCGGTTATTCAATTTTTCGTTAATGAATTGAGAGTTATACAAATACTTGCATCAGATTGGGATTCTGGTCAAGTTGTACGATGTCGTTGGTCATATCAATCTTCAACAGATGAATGTGGAAGTGCATGTTTTGATCTACCGAATGCTTCATTGAGTCCCATAGATTGTGCTATTACATGGACAGGTGTTCTTCGATCTGCGGATGTTGCTAATGGTCTAAATCAGTCGACATACGTGGTTGCTGTAACTGTTGAAGATTTTGTGAATGCGTCCAGTACTACACCTCTTAGTTCAGTACCTCATCAGCTACTGGTTCAGGTTTCCTATAAGCCTGCTGGTGCGTGTGCATTTAGACCTACCATTAATAGCTTTCTTTTACGTAACCGAGCATGCTTTGGTAAATAATATTCTTATGCTAAATTGTATTCTACTCATGCTATGTTTCTAGCTTGGTCAGTAGGCTCAAGGTTGAGTTTAAGTTTTTATGGTTATATATCCACATCTTGTTATAATCATTCAATTGTTGCGTTCGTGTCGTCAACACCATTCAATGTCAACAAAACAAGTTTCTATCAGTATACCAACTTTACTTGGGTCGCCACTATCTCATGGACACCTACAAGCGATCAAGTTGGTGAGTATATGAAATCGGTAGAACACTCAGTAAAATTAATGATTTCAATACTAGGTCTTGTGCCGATTTGTGCAGCAGCTGTCGATGACTATGGCCAAGCAAGTGACCAAAATTGTGTAATGATTGCCGTGGGTGCTACCAGCTTTAGTATACTGACACCAACCTTTGTTCAGGGTACGGCCTCACCTCTCGGTACTACTTTATCGACACAAACACGTTTCAGTATTCAAGGTAAGTATTTGCCAACTCTGGCTGTCATCCTATTTTGTTTTTATTGATTGAAAACCGCTCCCTTTATTTTCTAGCAAATCTACCACTGAGACGAACAAAACTGAACAATACTTTAATCTACATACAGGGATATGATGTTGCCTATTATAGAACGATTGATTGCAAATATTCTGGAGATGTTTATTTTGTTAACAAGACTTTGATTTTTTTCGTTCGGAATCCATCGTGGACTTTAGGTCGTACATATTATGTAAATCTAGGTTATGGAGTAGCTACGGCCGATCAATATTGTGGCACTGAAACATATTCCTTGAATGGTAAAATATGTTGAAAAAAATTGTTAGATATTCATTCGTTTCTCATTTCTTTTAGGTTATTACTATTGGAGATTCACAATTTGGAATCCACAGATGTCATCGACAACAACTCCTCCGCCTACAACAACCACAGCGACGACTCATACAGTGACTACTCGAGTAAGTGTTTACTTACTTATTTTTTATTGACGTCAGGAAAGATGAAAATGTGACAAGTGTCAAGCTATGGGAATCATGATTTCTTTTTGTTTAAATAATTTGAAAATTATGGCACAAGGTTGTTTGTCAAATACATAGGAGCTACGGTATCCGATTTTTTTCCGAGTGGAAAGACTAAGATAATTTCAGGAACTGTACGACAACCATTAAATTTCCTGATTTTGTGAGCGATTCCATTATGAGAATATGTTTTTCTTCGATGTTCTGCCCGAAGTGACTATACAACTGTGACAAACCTCGTAGAAAGTCTGACATGTTCCTATTAGCGATAGTCGGACATATGTGTGGAAGAAAGTGTTTAATATTTGTTAGTAAGTGTTGTCGAAAAGATATCAAGTTAAGATTAAATATTTTGAAATCTTTGAGCAAGCGTGCCAAAGGCAATTTTCTTCCTTCTATTATTCGTGTTGTATAAGGACTGACTGCAAAAAGTCGAAAGTGTAGAAAGTTCATTCATCTGGTATTATTTAAACTGGATTTTCTGTGTATAAATTCTTTCAATATCGACGTATTTGAAAGATTACCAAAAGATCTAGTGCAGGAGCAATAACTTATGAAGAATAATCGGCGAAGATAAAACGAGATAAAATTTTATCAGTTTCCTCGGAGTTCTTTCGTGGAACAATATTGTTTGCGCCTATTTGAAACGTCTTCACGAGTATATGTCTCGTAGTAGAGCACATTCCCCATGTGAATTATCAGGCATTTGATTCTATATGAATAAGAACTTTAATTGTTCCAGTTGAATCTGAAAACACCTAAAAGTGATACCTTTCGTACACACATCCTCGTCATATACATGAATCATTAACATTTTGTTTTGGAATGAAACCCTTCTTATCTGATTCGAATTCTAAACTTCAATAAATTCGACGGTAAACTAGTAGTCGTTAGATATCTAAATAATCTTCAATCGTGTGGCGATGCCATACCTTTTATTTTTTTGAATTGCAATATATCTCCAAAGAGAATAGGGTATAAATCTTAAGTCTAAATTTTACAGATTCCCTCACGTATATCGATCACAAGCATTTGAATCATCCTTTATTACAGACCTTAACATCACAATATAAAAGAAAGATTGCTCTAAATGATGTAGAATTTTCGAAAACCTTCGATAAAATTTTAATTACTAGAATGTGCTTGACAACATTTTCAATAGGTGAATTTTCGATTTTTATGCAGCTAATGATTTATATTTAAAACTTGCACGATAATTGGTAGCGATGTATTGCTCTACTGTAAGTGTCGTTTGATCGGCATGAAACGTGTCAATTGATTTAGGTGTAACTTCACAAAATGATCAGTACCATTTTTTGAGTTGATCAAGATACAATAATGCACTGCTACCTACATTTCTGTGTATATTATGGATTTATTATAGAACGAACAAAACCTCAGAAGAATCCAAAATTTTCCAAGAAGAAATTGAAACTTCTTTTGCCAATTACAATTTTCTTGAAGGAACTATTTAGAACAGTCGGCTTGCCGTTTTAATTCAGTATTTGTGAAAAAAATTTACAATTAAGAAAAATGACAATAAAAACTAAACAGTAAATCAAACAGTTAAGAATCTTTAAAAAGCAAAGAAAGGAAAAAGTTTCTTTTGAAAGTTCACAAATGAATTGGGTGGTTCATTACTTTGACCATTGATTAGTTTTTAAAGCAACTATGATGTACAAGAAAATTTTAAATTTGCATATTTTTTGTTGCTCACACTTTCCTTCCAAAAGTTATTGTCATGGTAAGCTTTTTCTAGAATGTTTTTATTGATATTCTTCCCGATTCTTATCTTCGTATTTACATTTATAAAGTAATAATTTCAAAACATTCGATATATTATAATTATTTAAAAACTAATTTTGCTGAAAATTTTAAATAATACGTCCCAAATATACTATTCGCATTTTTGGTTCGAATCAAATCGATATCAACTACTCTACAATTTTAAAAAATACCTAAATATAGCAGAATTGTACATGCAATGCTTCGAAATTACAGCATCGTTGAATGAAATCTACACTAAGGTAATAAAAAAAAACTAGTTGCAATGCGGCGCTCAATCAGAACGAAAATAGAATAGCATACGAACGAGTCATTCGAGCATGCTTACAATTTCGTAAAGAACGCGTTCTTACTCGTTCATTTTTTACCCTATTTTCCATACTGCAATTGATAACCATAATGATTCATACGACTCGATTATTTCGGTATTTTTCTTTCGTTTAGGTTCAAGGTACTACAACATATAATACAATTTTTACAACAACTGGTGTTCCTGCTTATTCAACAACATCAACAACGTCGACAACAGCGACAACATCGACTTCCGCAACAACTACAACAACAACATCAGCTACTACAAGTAACTGATAAACAAAACAATTCCGAATAAATTCACACCGAATATTTATTTTTCTTTAGCTACGACAGGAACGACTACAACAACACAGTATGTTCCAAATGCTGTGGTTATCTATCCAAAAGATATGGAAATTGCATGTGCACAGCCAGCAGCCATTGCGGTAGTCATTGTTACTAGTGTTATGATTCCACTTCATTTTCTTGCAATGATAAATCTGTTTGTTAAAATGAACAGTCTTTATCACAAGAACATTTTACGCTCACGACGGGCATATCGTAAATATTTACATCAAGCAATCGATGGCGAACGAGAATCATTGTTCTAAAATATTACTTTTACGTGGATATTGTTCCGTAAATGCGTCTTCACTTCAATTGATAAAAGTTTTGAGAAGAGAAAGAGAAAAAGACTGTTTCTTTCGATTTGTATGCACTAGAAAACTGTCTTAAACTAGATGCATCATTTTTGAAAAAAATAAAACGTTCTTCAAAAAGGAAATCTACCATACGGTTGACAACAGAACATTAATGGCAATTTGTGCAATTAGAACCAGCCGACTTTTAGATACCTTTTACTCGACGAGTTCTTCTTTGAGATCGAATTTTTCACACGCAATTGAGTTGTATTTATTTTCATTCGCAACGATTTCTGTCTCCATGTGCTTAAAGAAATATTATTTCTTCAGCAAAAAGCAGCAAGTCTTATTCTCTGTGTACCTTTTGCTGATCTCCCATTCAAGTAGTTTTGAAGCAACTTCACCAACGCCAATGAATTTTTTCATGGCTGAAAAACATTCAAAACTAAAGACGCATCTGTTTTCATAATTATATAAAAAAAGTACTTCTATAACTAGTCGCCGCTACTTGGAATTATTGCACTTTTAATACTTCATGCCCGAAAAATGGTCGCAATTTAAAAATAAAAGAATTGTGTCAGGCAATAAACTTTTATAGGCTTTTTCAAGTATTAGCAATAAAACTTCGTACCATGAGGTCTCGAAAAGAGCGTTTTGTCTTGCCACATGAACTTTGATGCAATTCTTTTTAAACATGTACGGTGTAACGTTAAAATATTCTGAAAATCGTATTTTATTTTCAGATTGCGATGGCACGGTACGACGTAAGAACTATTAAGATTCATTTGTTGTTTTTAATAAGTCTACAATAAATAAATCTCCGTGTTGTCTCGTATCTCATCGTTTCGTTGCTTTTTTTCCACAATTAAAGCTAGCTACTGTATTTTAGATGCTAAAGAGAATTATATTCAATCGGGTAACATTCATTGTGTTGTTTTGGATAAAACTTTTGTTCATCGTAATAGAAGACAAAATAATTCTAATTTAAAATATTTTGCTCAAATTTAGTTTACTTTTCAAATTACTTCGAAGGACTTGAAAGATGAGCTATCATTTCTATTTTCGAGCTTATTCAATGATAGAATGACTGAAAACATAAGTTACTGAAATTTTTCAAAAAGAAAACGTTTTATTGAGATCAAATATGTACAACAATTTCATGTTAGGTCGAACTATTTTCATGATAGTTATTGTGCGAAGCTGATTCAACATAACGAATTGATGTAACTGCACCATTATAAAGACGCATATTATTTATCGAAATTCTCAAAGTAGAATTTTTAAATTATCGAATCTAGCTTTAATCGGCTTAAAGTCACATGTAAGATGGATACGTAAATCAATTTTCAAAATTGTTCTCTAATTTATATAATTCTAGAATATTACAATTGAATTAGTAATATATTCATTATAAAACCGAATTCTTTCTCTTCATAACTGAAATATTCGTTTTTTCGCAGTATATCATATTTTAGTGTTACCGAGTATTTCAATTGCGACTTCTTTCGTCACGATGATCGTAATTAAGATAAATACATGTCTTCATATCTTCGTGTAGAATCTGTCTAATTGCTCTTAAATCTGATTGAACACCAATAGTCTTCATCCGGTATGCTTTAACAAGGGGAATCGAGCCCACCGTCAGTATGTCTTGTTTTCCTATCGTGTTCTCTATAAATGTTTTAGATAAATTTCTGCGGGCTTGACTTAAATATATATATACGTTATTCAGAGAAGAGTTCACGTATAGTTCCCTGCTTTAATCATTCTTCATATACTGAATTCAATAAGTTTTGCAACAGTTTTATTATTTTTGAGTGCTTCTATTTTCAAGAGTGTATGCACCCGTCGATTCTATTTTTTTACTGTTTGATGAAAAACGTATTTCGACAAAAAAAGAAAGTTTCTGTTTTTGGCATCGCTTAACACTGAAGAAAACGACGCATTCTACTCTTACTTCTTCAATATTACTCGTTAGCGTTACGTAGCACTCGGATTGAGAATTTCGATTTTCTACATATCTAGTGAGTTTTTTGTGTTATTCAAATTCCTATTGGTTTCAAACAGAAATAAATAGAAGCACTAGCTAATTAGAGAAAAATAAACAATAATCCTTAGATTTGACCACTGAATATTTTCACCATTAATTAGCTCAGTTTTCATCTGAAATTTTAATTATTATTGAAGATTTTATTTTACGAAATTCAAAGTAACGTGTGATTTCAATCGTAATGACAAGTGAATTACGACACTTTTTAATCAATATAACTGAAAAACTTACAATTCGATCTGTTATTGCGTAAATCCTTAGTTCAATGAATCATTCATTATGAAGAACTACTTCGCTGGCAAATTTTAATATCGAAAAATTAACTTTAACCTTCTGACAATTAATTCCCCATGCAACTCGCATTGTTTTTTCTACTTCTGTATTCATTTTATGTTTATCTCGCACCATAGTTGTGAAACCAGCATGCATTAAATAAGATAAAGCAATTGATTTGCACTTTCTTCAGAGTTTATTTTTATAAGTGCCTTTATTTATCTACGCTCAACATTTGCATAGTGAAATAGTCGCTAAACAAACCTTTCCGTTTTCTTTCTAAATGCGCTGTATTCTCAGCTTGAAGTACTTGAAAAAAGAAAAACTCTATTGTTTCTCTTATTCAATATTTTTCAAAAGAATAGTATCAACAGTTTTCTTTCATTTTCAAAAACAATCATTTTCATTCACTACTATTTCAAATGCATATTCATACGTGGATTCTATTCTTTCTCTCATTACTCTATAGTTCATTAGCAGATCATTATAAAGGCGGTAGCATATCATGGAGACCTGTAAGTCCATATTCATTATCGAGTCCTGTTCAAGTTGTAATAACATATCGAGACTCATGGGCACTTAGCCGATATGCTTGTAATGATACTACTATTAACAAATTTCTAACATATAACGATACACAAAATGCTACAGCAGCATCAATTATTTGCATTAGTTCTTCAGCAGCATGTACAGCGTCAAATTTCACAGCGATTAGCTCGAAATTATACTGTACTGATTTTAGCACTGCATTCGACGTATCTACCGGAAGTTATTATTCGAAACAAAATTTAGCATTAAATTCTGTAATTGATATTGCTTCGAGAGGAGCATCATGGTCAAGTGAAATTTTAA